GGTGTCAATTGGACTGGATTTGGTCTGATCCGATCCAGTCCGATGTGAGTCCATTATAAATGGACCAGGTCCAATCCAATCCAATGAATGTTTTGGATCAATTTGGACCAGTCCACTTCAATGTCTGGACCGTCCAATCTATTCAAATTCATTTTGATTTAGATTGATTTCAACCCAAATCCGGTCCATTGATACATATATTCTTATCTTATATCAATGAACCAGATATTGGCTTAATCCAACCCAATCCAATATAAATTTGTTACGGACGGACCAGGTTCAATCCAATCTAATAAATATTTTGGATTGGATTGGTCCAATCCAATATATCTTATTGGTCCGTTTAATCCGTTCAAATTGATTTTGGACTGGATGGGGTCCAATCCAAAACCGGTCCATTGACACCCTTAGTTGTGGCAGCGAGCTTTTCTAGAAAGCATTGGGTTTTTGCTGATTGGGTTCCCTTGCCTGAAGGGAGTGCAAAGTTGAACTTCGATGGGAATAGTTAGGGTTACCCAGGACCCTCTGGAATAGGAGGGGTTTTGAGAGATAAGGACTGCAACATATTAGCTCTTTTTTCTGGTCCAGTGGGTTTGGGAGAGTCTAATAGGGCCGAACTTTTAGCAGCCCTACAAGGTATTCAACTTGCACATCAGCTTGGTGTGGAAAATTTAATAATTGAAGGTGGAAAGGCAAAAGGAAGGGAGTTTTAAAAATATGGTGGAAGTGGAAGTTTAGGATGAGGTCAAATAGGAAAGAAGAGGGGGAAGGGAGATAGTGGGGAGTAAAGTTGAAGAGCTCCCAAAGAAAATAACATTGAGAAGGGGAGAGTGGGTATTGATTGTTTGGTGGATAAAAGAAAACAATTGGGGAAGGGGGTGAGATTTGGGAGGAAGGTGAAAGGAGAGAAGTAGAAATTGTTGATGTAGAGTGAGAGGAGGTTGGCTGTAGTGGCTGCAGGTGAGAGGGAGAGGGCTGAGAGTTTGGATGAAGTTTTTTTGTTGTGGATGCTTGGGCTTTGCCTATTTTGTCTTCTAGGATTAGTTTCAAGTTATGGTTTTTGTTTCTTTTGTTTTTTTGGAAAGTTTGGGGATGTAGAGTTGTATTCGAGGCAGTTTTGTTTTGTCTTTGGGTGCTTTGTTCCTCCTTATTTTTGTCTGGAGGTGTTGCCTTAACACCTATCTAGAATGTACTTGTTTTGTCTTTTAATGAATTATCTTTTACTATCAAAAAAATATTAGCAGTTTTTGGATGGATTTGGTGGATCATTGTTTTCTCTGTCTTAGCAAAAGAAAATGACAATAACTAACGATAAAATAAGGACACTAATTTTTCCATTTGGTTTTTAATGTTTCCTGAGGAAAGTTCCTGCTAAGCTACTAGAAGATGAAGTTGAGAAATAATCCGATCACCTTAATGGCCTAAATTTTGTAGAGGCAGTGATGCAGTAGGGTTGGAACAAACTATCATGAGCGAGGGAGAGAGAGAGAGAGAGAGAGAGATCCCAAGGGATCTTAGAATCACTCTAGGGTTTGTAGGAGTCACTCCATACAGAAAACTTGCAAGAGAGCTCTAATAAATCTTCTTTCATTCATTAGCTTCAAAAGGAAGAGAATACATCTATTTATAGAGTGATTTGTGTGGCCCGGAATACTGTTAACCATAATTACAAAAATGCCATTCCTTGTCTTGTGCATCAAGGAACACAATAACTTTCTATCTATTAATGCAAATAAACTGAAAATTGAAAGACAGGCCCTACTAAACTAGAGGATCAAGATGTCTCAGCCCAGGCCCCACACAGGACTAGTTAAAATGACAAAAATACCCATACTGTCCAAATATACAAAAATACAGAAAATTTAAGTTAATTCCAAATTTGATTCTTCAACTCCTGCATTAGGCAGCTAAAGTAGAAAAAGAATCTTCCTACAAGACGCTAACATGAAAAAAAAAGGGGAAAACCTGGTTAGCACTTTTATGATACCTATTATTAAGAAAGATGATAAAACTAACTTAAGAATGAGGTAATGGAATAACCACCTACTGAAATGTTTCTAGATAACTCTACAATTAAAGTTCTCTCATTTTTTTGATGTCCAAAACATTGTGATATTATCAAAAGTATAAACAAATTGTAGAGAACACTGATGTGGACCCCACTGTGTTCGTATTACAGTAGTAGACAGTTAGTTATGTTAGTTTTTCAGTTGTTAGTTGGTAGTTTATTTCAGCCTTATGTTATTAGTTTTTATCTTATTATTTTGCCATGTAAGCAATAAGGGTAATTCAGCCCTTTTGCAGTTATTAGAATATGAATATAAATTACAAGAGTGGGGCGGCAATTGCTTGTAACCCTCTCTCTCTTTTCTGAAATTTCTCTTCGTGTTCTCCTTCTCTTCTCCTCTTCTTCCTTTTTTTCTTCTTCTTATTTTCAATCTTTATTTGTTTTCTGATTAAAACCTAAGACAGGTTGTAGTCTTGTTTGACTACTTAAATATATAACTATTGCTGATAAAAAGCATAAATAAATATTGTAAATCTGAAATTGATCCTTGGTTAGAGGAACAATAGTTACTTGATACTTCAGTTGTATGATTTTAGATGAATATGATGGCTTTTTCCATCTGTGCCATGAAATACTTCACATTGACATAAGATTGCCTAAATGAATTCCTATTGTGCTTGAAATACTAATTATTGAACATACCTTTAGGTATTCAAATTAAATTGCATGACTTCTTGGAAAGAAAAAGATAATTTTAAAAGCTCTCTGGTAGTCATTCAAAGAAATTTTTATTGTGTAGTATGAAAGGTCCATCATTGCATTTAAATGCTACAACTTTTAATTTTAAACACTTGGCTTTTGTTTATTTATTATTTTTTAAGGATAGCTGGTCTTGAGGATCTATATTTTCTGTATCTTTTGCTTATTTATTGATGATGATGTTCCCTGCAAACTTTTTGCAGGTTTAGCTATAAAACTAAAACATATCTTTTCGTCATACCTAATAAGTATACTCTTTTTAGGGTTACCTTCATCTTCTTTCTTGGTCACTGATGTGAGCAGACAAGCAAGATTTATGCAGTACCTCAAGTGAACAATAGGCAAGGAAATATGGAGCTGAAAACAATAAAAACAAACTGGATGTTTATAGATTTCAGAACTAAACCTGATTTAGAACTCCTCCTGGAACTGTTCTGCTACTGTAGTAATGGCGTCAAACTGGCCTCTTGTGCGGACACAACAATAGAGGTATTGGAAGGGCTTGCTCAAAATCCTAGTTGAAGTTGGCAAAAGTCTTGGTTTGTTCCTTTTGGGTGATGAGACTTTTGTTAGAAGAACAATTGAAGAGTTTGAAAGGAGGGAAGAGAGTCTGAAAAGGTGTCAGTTGGAGGAGGAGAGATCTGGAACGAGGTAAATGATGAGCGGGAGGAGTATAGGTGGCTCTCATTGCCATCTCTCTGCATGATCTTTTCTTTTTTTGGTGGTTAGTAGTTGGGTTTGGGGGTCAGGGGATAGTTGAATCTGTTTGGGTGTATGTGGTGGTGGGGGGGGTATGTTGGTTATTTTGTTTCGAAGTTTTTTTGTTTGTTTGGCGTAGTTGGCTGTTTCCTAGCTCCTGAGTGAGTACTTGTCACCTTCTTTTCTTCTATTCTCTTTTTCTTTTTAATGAATTGTTCTTTATTATCAAAAAAGAAGAAACAACCCCCTTTTCTTCTACAAGTCTCAATGGCCTATTGGAAAAGCCAACCAAAATATTTACAGGTAAGCTCCTAGAATATCCTGTCTTCGCTTTCTAATATTGTGCCCTTTTATTGCTGATATTTTGGTGTGGTTTTTCTCTTTGTTTGGTGTAGGTTGAATCTGCCAATGGGGGTGGATGAGCTTTTTGAATTTCCACCTTTGTTTGGCCTAAGAGAAGGGGAAGAATTATGTGGAGATGTGTGACAATTGCATTGGTTTGGACCTCATTGGAAGAAAGGAATATATGGATTTTTTTCAGAGGAAAGAAGCAAAGAAGTAAGAGAATGTTTGATCACAAGGGTAAAACACTGGATTAGAACTTTGGATCACTTCTCACAGTTCTCCTTTGATGATGTATAGAGGAACTGGAAGGAGGTGGCTAGGAATTCATCTAAGAAKTATAGAATAAATGCAATGTGGATGCCTCTTTCTGGAGGCTATATGAAGCTAAATTCTAATGGGAGCAGTCAAGGAAACCAGATGCCTCTAGAATTGGAAGGGTGATGAGAGATARAGGCAGTTGTGTCGTAGCTTCATTTTTCCAGTCCAGTGGGAGTGGATGATTCCGTCAAGGCTGAAATGTTGGCTGCCTTGCAAGGAGTATATACAGATTGCATATTTACTGAATATAACTTGGAAATTGAAGGGGATCCAAAACTGGTGATGGCTGCTGGAACGAGAGTCTATTTTATGGTGTTTTTGAAATGAGATGAAGGAATTTAAATGGTTTGCCAGAAATATGAATGTGAATATTTTGGGGGAGGAGATCAACTAGACAACTAATGGGATGGCAGATGCTCTAGCTAAGCAAGGGGTAAACATAAATTAGTTGTATTCAGTGCAGTTATAATATATATATTTTTTATTTTGTTTTGTTGTAATGGTAGCTCCTCGTGCCTCTTCAAGAGAAGCTTGTACTGATTATATATTTTCTGCCTTAATAAAATTTTACTTCATTTATCAAAAAAATATCCCCTTCACAAACATCTCCATAAGAGCAAAAAGCAACTATAAACAACCCCTTTTTTATATATTTTTTTTTCTCTTTGGGACTCATCATTGTCAATAATTAGGTTTTAGTTATGTGATAGTACAGTTTGATCTATTCATTCTCCTTCAGGTAATTGCATTCCTTAGGTCTTAGATTATTCATTATTCAAGGGAAACCACATTACTATTTTTATAATATGAACAGCTTAAACTGCATATTGTGATATTTGATACTTCTATTTGATTAAATTTTCTTATGTAGGGGGTACTGAAATTGAAACATACTGCAATGGCTGATGATGTTCGCCCCATTGATCCTACATGCAATTGTATGGTATGCCTATTGATGTGACTCCTTATTTTGCTAAAACTATTTGTTTACCAATTGCACATAAATTACAGTATGATCTTTTTTTTCCCTTGATTTTTCTTGTTTCTGTAGGTTTGCAAAAACTATACAAGAGCATACATCCATTGTCTTGTCACCAAAGATGCTATGGGATCTCAACTTCTCTCATACCACAATCTCTATTATATGATGAAGGTAAAAGCATTAAAGCTTTCCTAACGGTTTCTGATTTGATTGGTTTCCATTTAATGAGTAAACTGCTTTCTGATTTACAGCTTGGTAGAGATCTGCACACATCAATAATTCAGGGATGTTTTCCGGAGTATGTTTTCCCTCTTAACATCATAACCTGTTTAGGAGGAACTAAAAGATGATTTGATTAATATCCAACTAAGTTGTTGAATTCATTATGCTTATTTTTATTATTATTATTATTATTATTATTATTATTATTACTATTATTATTGTTATTGTTATTGTTATTGTTATTGATCAGCAAGTATGCTTATTTATTATTTGTTTGTTATCGTTTATGCAGGTTTGTGTGTGGGTTCCTACAGAAAATGGTACTCCAACTCTATTGGTCCATTTATTCCTAAAAATTTTATCTTTTATTTATTTTCAACAAATGGCTATTATTTAGAGTAGAAAAGTATGATGGTGGATTATAAATGTTACTATTTACACCCTCAAATCTTTGAATTTATATCTTGTTGAAAAATTATGTCCTTACTTGGGTGTAATACAAAAAGATGTAAAAGAGAATAATGCCTATTCAAATAAAACATTCTCAACACTCCCCTTCAAGCTGGGCATAGATATCTCTCTTGCCCCGCTTGCCCAAATTACTATCAAATTTTGACTTAGGAACCCCCTTAGTAAGGCCAATAGCAAGTTGGTGTCCGTCTACTATGTGTTGTGTGCAGTTATGTTGGACAGGGTTATAGGCAATGTTTTGACTTAGGAACCCCCTTCACAATAGCTGCTTGATGCCCTCCATGTTTTTTTTTAAATTGCCACAATCGTTCATTTGTCCAGGTGGCAAGTAAGCAATTCAATCATCCAGGTCAAATAGGTCAACCCATGATGTCATAACTAAATTATAAAAATTAATAAAGATAAAAACAGAAATAAATTATGGAAAAAATATTAACTTTGTAAAAAAACATTTGGGCACATCTTTAATATTATATACTTATCATATTACAAAAACTGTGTGAGAAATAAAACTTTTTTTATAAACATAAATATAAAAAATTGTAGAAAATTGATACATCGAAAAAAAATTGTAGAAAATTTTGGACACATCTTTACTAAAATTACCTTGTGCAAAGCACATGTACATTTGCTAGTGTGTGTATATGTCAATTTTTGGTCCTAGCTGGGTTGGCCAGGCCTAGATCTAGCTTGGCCAGGGCCCAGGCCAGGCCAAAGATAAAATAGCTTGCTCGGGCCTGGAAATTTGCAGACTGGACAAGGCTGGGTCATAAATGATAATCCCTAATTGAGCATCATGTTTCCAAAATTTCAGATGTTTTCATTGACACCCTTAGCATCATTTGTAGGGCTTTAATTGATGGTTAAGCCTCCTTATTTAAAATTCAAATCAGAACAACTGATGAGTTAAATCAATCGAGTCCTACAGAAAAGTATTAGTTGTCCATGTGCAACCCAATAGAAATAGAAAAAAGAATTAATTGAAGAGTAGAGCCAAATATGTTGGCTGTCCAGGTTTGAGATGGAAGTTTAAATACCCTTTTTAAAAGAAAAATATCAATTGCATCACCATAGTCCTTAACTGGGAAAAAAACTAAAAGATTCTGTCTTTTCTTTCAATTTCTAAATATAATCACCTCCCTTCCATCAAATGACAAGAGCATCTGAAATGATCAACTATGTACAATTTATCATGAAATACAGTAGTTGTGCAAAGTCGGTTTTCAGACATGGTAGTTTGCTTCCTTTTGCCATATTTAGATTTTAGACTGATCTATATCATTTTCTAGTAGTTTCCTGATTCCTTGATGTTCAATCTGCTTTGGATTTGTGATATTTTTTCTTCTTTCTGTTAAAATTAATTTTAACTGATGCCTAAAGTAGCTGGCTTGAATTTGTGCTGTATATATCCACCCTACCTGGTACTGTTAAGTTGTCCCTCAGAATCATTGTTAATAGAAGTTTCCATAAAAAGAAGTTTTGTTATTTGGTATTGTGACTCCTGTCTGAGGGAGACAGATTGTGCAAATCCCCCACATAATTAAGCTTGTTTGGTGGAACCTCTAAATGGTTGTTATTTTGCAGTTCCCCAAAGGTGATGTCCCCGAATGGGTTTGCAATGCCATGGAGGTTGCTGGAATCGACATTTCTTCCTGCTGTGCTCCCTTCTCTTCATCCTGAGGTTAGGTGTAGTTAGACTGAAAGGAGTTGGTTTTTTCCTAAGCATAAGGAAATAATAATGAAAGACGGCTCATATAATTGAGGGCATTGTCTCATGTCCAGGACTTTTTTTAATCAAAGGCAGCATATATTTTGTAGTGAATATGCTGCTTGAATAGGAATTGCATCTAATTTATGAAATTTTAATCAACTTATTGGCATTACAGGCTGGCAGCATAAGTTTTGTAGAGGATATGCTGCCGAAATTGTTTTTAATAGTTGCTGTAAGCAATTTGTATCTGCATTTTATTGATCTACTTGTATCAAGTTACGCTAGTTTTTGATCTTTGATGCAAGCCATAAATGATATTTTTCTTAAGCACGCCCTGTTGTATATCACTATATCCTTGATGTTTCTTTGTTTACATGTTTTTTTTTTTTCAATTCATCTTCAAGTGTGGATATCCGTCTTTGTTTCTTTCTTTTTTAAAACCCTTAACTGCTTCAGTGGCCGAACTGAGTGAGTGGCATCTTGGACTATGGGTGTCATCAAGCAGATTTTGAGCTACCTAATATTGCAAGGCATATTTGGTTGATTACTATATCCTCAAGTAATTTAATTCAGCTAATTAAAACCGTAACACAAAAAACCCCCATATGCCTTTCAAATTATTTCCTTTTCAGCAGCTCTTTATTAAAGTCATGAGATCGAAGACCTATATAGAAAGAATTTAGCAAACCAAATAGCAAATAGTAAACTATGCTTATTCTCTTGGTTTTGTAATAGACAGAGTCGCTTACCCCCGGTAGATTCAATGTGCTTCAATCATGCACACAAGGAATTAAGGATTAATAAATTGTACTCAAAGCAAAGCTTAAAGTATCAATATAGACCAATATGCATGTTGATATACATAATATACCTTAACAAAACAGGTTCGAGAACGGAAAATTAGGGAAGAAAAGGATATTAGAAGCCAAAGTATATACGTGGTCATCACCATTGTTATTGTACATCATTATCACCATTTCCCCGACCCCTGTGGAGAAATGGGGTGGGAATGGGGATGGGAAAATTTTCATTCCAGTTGTAGGGATGGGGTGAGGATGGGAAGAGCATTCCCCGGCCCCTGCCCCTGCCCCACAGGTATCCCAATCCCTGTTAATATATGGTGGAATATATTTAAATTTTATTAATAAGATTGTAAATTATTTTATTCTTATTTTTTAAATAAAATAAAAAACAAAAACAAAATGGTTGATATCACAAAAAATCATGCGAGTGGGGAACCCCGTTGGGATAGAGATGGGGAGAGTGGCTCCCTGCCCCGTTGTCATACCTAACACAGATTAGCTGAACTGTATAATTTATTATCGCAAGAATGGGGATGGAGAGAGTGGTTCCCCACTCCGTTGCCATACCTAACACACAGATTAGCTGAACTGTATAATTTATTATCGTTCATATCTGCCATTTTCATATATTCGATACAGTTTTTGGGTTAAGATTGTTAGATTGAACTTTCCTTAATTAAAGATTTTATTGGTAAAGTTATCATGTTATATTTCCCCCGACCCATAACCACCCAGTCCTGGTACAAGCGGCATTTGATACCCAAGTCTTGTTTTTATATCGTATTTGATATTTATGCCAATTTCTATATGCATTTCCAAAGCTTATTCCCCAACTAGCGGGAACCAGTGTGATGCAAGGGTTTTGTTAAGCAAAAGTTAAACAATACAAACACATAAGAGTATACTTTTGTTTTATATTTTAATTTTTATATAATTAATAACTTTTATCTTTTATATAATATTTTTAATAATTTTTTTTGCAATACAAAAATAACAATAATTAATTTCAACAAGGATGGCTCATCAAACTGAAGAAACCGACCAACCTGACCTAACTTGACTTGAGTTGATCGGTTTTCTAGTATTTTCCAATCAGTTTTAGTTTGGTAATTTCCCAACCCAACCAGGTTGGGTCAGTTTTGGTTTGGCCATTTGTAAATCAACCAAAATCAAGTCGATCTTACCATACTATATATATATATATATATATATATATATAATTTTTAATACAGAAATGTGGGAAATTCCCATATTTCTTAGTCTAAAATATTTTATATTATAAATTTAAAGTATTTATTTATTTTTTAATAATACTGTTATAATTTGTTAAATTTTAATTTAACTTTTAAGTTTATATCTTTTGAACCGATCGACCAAATTGATACAACCCGAGTTAGCCAATTTTTACTAATGGTTATTTAGTTTCGGGTAGACCTGTGCATAGGTAGGGCTGAACCGGGCTTTACCTCTTTATAAATAGAAAATGACCAGGCTTGAGCCCAAGCCCGAAGCCCGATCTAGACAAATACTTTACATTATATTAATTAAAATATTATTAATAATATATTATATATTTTATAATATTCTATACATTATAATATATAATACCTTTTTCACTACTAATTTTATTATTATATAATATATATTATGTATTATTAATATATATTGTAATTTTACTATATATAATATTATTGGGTTAGGCTCAGGACAGGCTTATTTGGGAAACCTCAAGCCCAACCCAAAAAATAGTCAGGCCCAATATTTAAAGCCCGAGCCTAAGCTTGCGGGCTTAAAACGTTGCCTAAGCCTGATTTAGAATGGGCAGAGCCAAGCCAACCCATTGGGCTACCCGGCCCATGAGCAGGTCTAGTTTTCAAGTGACCAACCTCCCAACCAACCAAGTTGGTTTAATTGACCAAACAGCCTTCAACCAAACCGAAATGATCCATGAACACTCCTAATTTTAGCTAAATTAATATTCTAACCTCTAATAAATAACAATAGTTTAATCTCCAATAATTATGAGACTTTATAACGAAAATACACAAAGATTGAAAATAAATTTATAATGAAAATACTACAAGTAACTAATAAACATACAATGAATACAATAATTATGAAAATACAATAAATACTATTAATATATTAAATTAGTCAATAAATAGTGTAACATCCAATAATAGTTTAATCTCTAACAAATATTAATCAATAAATTATAACAAAAAATACAATAAATTAAATTTAAAATTTAAATAATGATATTTTAATCTCCAATAATTATTAAAAATTTTTCATTAAATAACAAAACAAAAATAGATTTATACATAATTGTTAAAAATATATTTATCACAAATACAATAAATAATTACTAAAAATACACTAAATATTAATTTTAGTATATACAAATATATAATAAATATAAATAAATATTTTAAAATTAGTAATAATAAATATTATTTTTTGAAAGTTATTACATAATTTCTTTATATTCTTCTATTTTTAATTAATATTCAAAATATGATTTAGTTATTAATTTTTATATTTAACATATTTAAAAATTAGTTACAATATTATTTAGTTATTTAAATAATATCATTATTTAAATTTTAAAATATTAAATATTTATTGAATTTAATAATCTATAAAATTATAATTTATATTATTATTATATACTTTCGTTATTACTTTTATGAAATATAAAACTATTATTAATTCAAATATTCTGAGATCTATTATAATTACTTTTCTACTTGTAAGAATTTTTTTAAATTTATTACATAATTTAGTTATTTTAACCATTTAAAATTTAGTTATGTTAAATATTTCGTTATTTAAAATATTTAGTTATTTAAATGTTTAAATAATATCTAAAATATTTAGTTTTTTATTTAAATTTTATTTACTTAAAAGTTATTATGTAATTTTCAATATTATGTTATATAATTATTTATCTATTTTTGATATTTTGTTATTTAAAGAATTTAGTTATTGAAATAATATTTTTTTAGTTTTAAATTTTTATTATGTAAACAACGTTTAAATAATTTTATCATTTAAACTTAAAAATATTATTTAGTCATTAAATTGAATAATCAATAAAAATATTATTTTGTGTTTATAATACATATTTTTAAAGTTATTACGTAATTTATTTATAATATTTAAATAACTCTTAAATTTTATTAATTCAAACTTTATTTAGATGGAAATAGATCAAAAGTGGGAGAGGATAAATAGAAATTAGAGATAATTTAGGGGAAGGTGGGGTATACTGGTATAGCGGTGCCACTTTGGCTACATATTATAAAACCAAATCTCTCTTTCTTTCCTTGATAATTAACTCCCTTGCCACGTGACTTAATGGGTGGACTGGGTAGGAAAGAGGAGAAAAGAGAGAGTGAATGGGAGAATTGGAAAGGGGTAAGGGTGAAAGGAGAGAGGTTTAAGGAGAGAAGGGGGACTGGGAGGAGAGGGATTTTGACATGGGACCTAATTGCTTGGGAAATTTTGGCTGTTTGGGAATTTCTTCCACATGACATTGTGACACGTTGCCCTCTTGCCACTTTACTCCCAATATTCTTTTACCCCACATCCTTGGTTTTTTTGCACAGGAGGCTCACAAACAGCCCAGGTTGGTTTTTTTAGAAACGGCCGAACCGCCAAAGTGTTTAGGCGAAAGTGACATCCAGAGCGAGAAACAGTGGAACGGTTGACTTGGGATCGTACCCCCGTTGTTTAGTCCATCAAAAGAAATTAAAAAAAAAAAAAAAAGAAGGCATGCCTCAAACAATTTGGATTTTATCGGAAGGTTGCGTCCTCCACAAAGCTGTATAGAATTCAAGAGGGAAAAGTAGAACATTCCAAGTCATAAACGGATCATGGATAATATCTGACTTAACACTTCAATTCCAAAACTAACTGGCATTTATTGAAGCCAAAAACTTCTCGAAATTTCCACCCTAGGCCAAGTGAATTTGGTCGGAGGACAACCCTTGAATCTGTGAAATTAAATGAATTGTTGATGGATTGCGAATTCACACATACAAAAATGAGATGCACGAATGCAGCATAATATGCACCTCTATATCGTATCTTCCAGCAGGCAGCATCATGTGTCAGCATTCGATGTCTCACTAGTTGCTGGTTTTCCATTTCCACCTGTATGTCCATTTAGATGGCCATTGAATTCAGGATTGTAAATATGACCCATTTTCAAACGTTTTGTCTCCAAATACCTCCTGTTCTCTTCTGTTATTGGAGTCAACAACGGGACCCTGCCCACAACTTCCAAACCATAGCCTTTGAGCCCAATGTACTTTGAAGGGTTGTTTGTCATCAGCCTCATGGTACGAACACCAAGATCTCGCAATATCTGCAATTAGTATGACAATTAATTCAACTATCTGAATGGAGTCTACTGTCAAAAAATGGAAACTCTGCAATCAGAAAATAACCAAAATAATTAACCAATTATATGTTTATTCTGTGAACAATGAAATCTACTTCAAAGTTACACAAACACCCTAACCCACCCAATACTCTAGAACTTAGGTTTTTTTTGGTTCAAAATTGAGACTCCTACAATTTGGATAAGCTCCATGCTCCCTATCCACTCTACATCAGGTCACTGAGGGTGGATGTAGTGGCCTGCTCCTGGCTTGTCTGGTTTAACCAAAAAGTTGGTTAAAGGCCATTACCCAATGTTGGTCCCAGCTATCTGGGGTCTTGGGAGGGGTGGACTGGATATGGTCCTAACCATTTGTACAAAGTGCATGCTTTCAGACTTGAACCTGTGTTCTCATGCATGACAGCCCAATATTTTACCGTTACACCTTAGCAATGGCCCCTAACCAGAAAGGATGGTTGTCATCGCCTTTTATTTTCTTTATTTATTTATTTATTTTTTGGTGGGGGGGCTGACAATTGACCACTACAGCAATACAAAGTGGTGGATTATTGAAAAAGCAGAAGACCAATAACCCAAAGAACAATTTTATGCTCATTGATTTGATTATTTTAGCAAGAAGCCACATTGATGGCTTCAAACTTCAGTACCTGTGCACCAATACCATACTCTCGTGAATCAACAGGCAATCCCAGTTCTTCATTTGCTTCTACAGTGTCACGTCCATCATCCTGTAGGTTGTATGCTCGGAGCTTGTGGCCCAAACCAATGCCTCTCCCCTCGTGTCCACGAAGGTAAACTAATACACCCCTACCAGCTGTCTCAATCATCTTCATTGCAAGTGCCAGTTGGTTCCCACAGTCGCATTTGGCTGACCCAAATATGTCTCCAGTTAGGCATTCAGAGTGTACTCTTACAAGAATATCGTGCCCATCCCCAATTTCACCCTGTTTACATCATGAAAGCAATTATCATAACCAATAAAACATAAATACACTAACTGGAAATTATACCTCTTGATTTTGGGACATGGTAGGGAAGGATGTATTGTTCTAACCACAGCAATGATTTTGATCCTAACATTAGCAACAAAAATAGAAAAATCTTCTTTCTAGACAAGTATACTGTTGGGACCCAAACACTCCCTCCGAACCCAACTATAGGAGTGGAGCAGGCCACCACCGAGCAGCATTTCACTAGAAGACAGAGAGRCTAGCGTGACAYGCGGCAGAGCCTCCCAGAGTTAGTTACACTGCCACCAGAAGATATTCTCTCCATGATTGCATACATGTAGGCCAGCTATATAAGGCCCTGATCATGTAATAAGTGGCGTGAATGAATATCCCTTTCAGCTCTCTCTCTGAGTCATTTTCTTCCAACCTTTCCACTTTCCCTCCCATCTTCTGTTTCAGGAGGTTAAGCCACCCTCGAAGGGGCTTCCGAGGTGAGCGGTAACTCACCATATACAATATGCATGCCATAAGACCAGATGCATCTGTTATCTCAGTACAATAAGGCCAACAGGTTTTATGCTGTGTAAGTTATCTTAGGCTGAACCAACTTCTTCATGTAGCAGCACAGAGTACAGCTCCAGTTCAGTTGCATATCAATTTAATTTAAATGTGAAGTTCTTTTAGCTAGCAGGATAAGTTGGTTGATAAAAATCTGATACCTTRACAAATCATTGGTGACCATTTTGAATGTCACAGAGTGAAGACACATATGGCCTCTTTTTACATTAGAATATTCCCAAACAGCCAACATATGGCCTCTTTTTACATTATTTTAAGTTTTGTCTGTCCTGTATGCACTCAGAGATTTCAGTAATTCATAAGATATGAAAAAAGAAAAGAAAATGCATATGCATGAATACTTCAATTCCAGACCTTACCTTAACCATCGCAATATGCTCCATTCCATCCAGCAATGACTTATAACAGTAGGCCCTGAAAGCTCCCCATGCTAGGGGTAATGGTGCAGCAGAAGCCCTCTCCACCAATTTGTCTCTCTTCCTCCTATATCTGCCAATTGTGAACATTGTTTAGAACTTAGAACAGAACTTTGTTCCATCAGATACAATAATAGAACAAAAAACCAGCTACCATGTAAAGAAATTGTATTATTTTCCAGAAAGGGAAAGTAATTGTTAGATGTGACAATTGATACAAAATGACAATCTGAAAATCTCCATTGTATGGACACCACTCAATAGACTTCATTTTGAGAGAGAACTAAATTTGTGACATTAAACAGGACAGAAAATGATGTTCTACCATGCTAGGTTCTTACCTAAGATGTGTCCTTTGTCTGGTGCCACAGGACCTGTAATATAGTCCAGAGCACCATAATATGCTCATATCCTGTATAATAAGGGATGTGAAGAATTCTACATCTTAACCCCATCTTAAATGGCTTTCTCTATCTGATGTAGGATGATAAGAGAATATCCTGATAGGGTGAAGAAGGGGTATTAAAGATCCAAATTATGAGTTACATCTAATGATCTAAATAGAGAAGAAAAAGAAAAGAGAAGAATATTACATCTTTGGTGATAAAACAAAGAATAGAAATGAGAGCAAGAAGGCCAAACTTTTGTCTGCAGGTAACTTCAAGACAAACTTTTATTCTGTTCATTCAACTTCTAAAACAACTCCAATAACACTGTACTAATCCTACTACAACTAAACAAGCAAGAAACAATTCCAAGATTGATCCAAAGAAATAGAACGACTCAAATCTTGTCATATATTGACCCCCACGGTGCTCTGGCGTTTGACGCACTCTGGGTAAAAATTAAAGTAGAGAGGAAGGAGAATATAAAAGGGACAGAAGAGTGAAAGAAACAACAGATGAGAATTATTCACCTCTTCAGCTGTTATACAAAGATTACTTCAAATTTAAAAACAACTAAAATTCTGTCCTTAAGAAGTGTGGACAGAACTTAAACATAATAACATAAACTGAAATGACACTAACACCCTTACACTTCATGCCATCTAACAGCTAAATTGACCAAAACTTCCTCAAAACCTGTTGGATTTACAAGATCTTGGTCTCGTTGAATAGATAACTCAAAAAATGGCAGTCAGCTTCTATATGTTTTTATCCTCTTATGAAAAATCCGGTTTGATAAAATACGAACAGCAGTTTGATTGGCACAATACAACTTCATGGGTGTTGATATAGAATATCCAATCTCCTGAAGTAACTGTTGCAGCACATGTAGTTGTAGGTACATGTTCACCACGACTGCAATAGCACAGAAGGCGCTAAACCAATGCTACAAAACACCCGCGATGAGTTTACAACTTGTCACAAATTTGTGATGAACTCAAAGCCTGCACAGACTTGCGATGAGCTCAAAGCCTACACGAGCTTGCGATGAGCTCAAGGTCACCACAGACCTGTGATGAACTCAAAGCCATCGTATCGATGACGAACTCAAGGTCGCCAYGGACCTGCGATGAGCCCAAAGCCATCACGAGCTTGCGATGAGCTCAGAGCCATCGCGAACTTGCGATGAGTTCAGAGCCATCACAAATCAGCAACGAAGAAAAATATAATGACTACCGATATCACTCGCGACAGGACGTCTACCGATATCAGACCCGCAAAAGGAAGTAGCATACGTGTACTATGAGAATCCTTAGACGAAAGGAAACCTCGTCCTGGAGAGATCTCATAAGACACGTGGCGAACCCTTAGTAGTATCCCCCTAATAACTGACACTGAATCGAAGATTCCCTTTCCAAATGGGAATCAAACTCTTTTGGCTCCTTCCTTTCARGACCTCGGGATCTCTCCCTATAAAAGGAGGCATGAATCATAACGAACACACAATTCTGTCAATAAAAGTCCTTAGCCTACCCTTTTTCCCTCTACCTTCCTTCGTCTTTCAAGGAGACCACCGCATGTAGCCTTACCACACCACTCACAAAAGTATGAGCCATAGTCTCGTACTCAACTTCAACAGTCAACACTATTCTTGTGACCACACTATAACCAAATTACTTTGTAGAAAAATACAATACCCTGTAGTGGACCTTCTATCAATCATAGAATTGGGTCAACCAGCACTTATAAAATCTTTGATCTCCAGGTGAACATTGGCCTTGTATATATACCACATCCAAGCATACCTTTCAAGTAGCGCATGATTCAAACTAATACATCCCAATGAGGAATACATGGTTGTTGCATAAACTGAATCAGCACAATGACTGTAAAATAGATATTTGGCTGCAATTGTAAAGTAATTCAGCTTTTTAACCAATCTCCTATACCTTCCTGGATCATCAAGTAATTTACGCTAATCACTACTCAATTTAGTGTTCGGTACATTAGAGACTATGTTGCCTTGGCACAAATAACCCTATCTCATCAAGGGGTCAAGACAATTTCCTTTAACACAAGTTAATGCTATTACTTGATCAAGCCACTTCAATGCCCAAAAACTATCTCAGCTTACCAATATCATTGATCTAAAAATGTTGTTATAAAGAGTGCATTTCTGCCTGAGCCTTTCTATGCCCTGGAAATTAGTCATGGTGGTGACAATGTCACCAACATAAACTACTAGTTTAATGTTTCTAGAGGTTATGACAATGTCACCAGCCTGGTGAATGGTCAACTTGGTATTGTTTCATCCCAAATTCCTTTACCACTTCACTAAATATTCCAACCAAGCTCTTCACAATTGCTTCAACCCATAAACTGTTCTGCGTAGCCTACACAACATATTTTTGGTTCCTAAATGGCAAACTTGAGAGGTTACCCTAGTCAGTTGCTACACATAAACATAAACTGAGACAATTCTGCCCTTAACAAGTATGGGATAGAAGTTAAACATAATAACATAAACTGAAATAATACCAACAGCCCTACACTTAATGCCATCTAACAACTAAAATGACCAAAACTCTCTCAAAATCAAAACATGTTGGAATTACAAGACCTTGGTCTCATTGGATAGATAACTCAGTAATTTATCTAATGACACCAAAATCATGTAAAACATATAAGTTTCAGAGCTTGAAAAAATAGGCTGAAAGAGAGTGACATTAATACAATGTGAACTTTACAAAATTCTAAAATACTCTCCAATAAACATTTCAAACTATATAACCCTCTAAGACAATATACCTTACTACTAAGGCACTAAATAATTAGAAAAAAAAACTTAAAAAGTTAAATTGACCAACAACCTAAAAAACTATGAAATTGCAACTGGGGTATGAACTTAAAGAACTTCATTTCTTCTTCCCAGGTTTCTTTCCATTTCCATGTCTGCAGCACTATCACAGTAAGTCTAAAAAGTACATAAGGATCTTGAGTCATTGAATGTTCCACACTTCCCTTCAAACTTAAGAATCAGGCAAAATCTGATGGTCTAAATGGAAAGAACTTTTTGGGCCTGTCACGTAGTTGCTACTTTTCTTTTCTCCCCTTATGGTTTGAATGAGGGTGCCTCTCTCAGCATATCAAAGTCATATACATATTAGAAGCTATAGAAGCAGCCTTTTGTGCTGGATGTACTGCCTTCTATAGATGAAATGCCAAAACTAACATGCCTACCAGTGCTACATATACATAAGAATACCTAGAAAAGACTTGCAAGCAACATTGTTTACAAAGTTAATGATGTTCAATGATTTGCAAGAATGCCTATATATCAGTATTGATTTGGATGAGAATACAGGTACAACTAGAGCTAGGTTGGCTGAGGTTAAGGTCAACCCTAGCTCAACCTGATCTGTTAAAACCTCAACCCTAAGCCTAACCAATCCAATCTTCAACCCGAGGTTCTCAACCCCAATCCAACCCGATCAATGAGAACAGGTTGGTTGGGTTGGGTTTAGGTTGGACCTTTACCAACCAAATATGCAAAGGTATGCATAACTGCATATTATCATACTCATTAAACTACACATACTGTATATGAAAACAACACATAGATGTCATAGTATAATAAATTTAAACAATAGACCACCCTTAATCAWCATTAACTCTCCTCCTCTCACATAAACGTACTTGTATGCATAAAACAATACATGTATCACACATAATCTACAAGAACATATAATTAGAAGTGCAATACACCAGTTTCTGCTTAGGTCAAGTTGTGAAACAAAACTATATACTAGGCTAGCATTTTCCAACCCTACCCAACTCTATTTTTTTCAGGCTGGATTTGGGTTGGCCCAACCCAAGTTGCACTCATGGATAAGAATGGTGGCAATATGCAACTACTAGGGGGGAAACCTTTGTTTAGTTAAAAGAACAAATGCATCTTAATATGTTCTTATAACAACAGATAGATTAAGATTTTTTCCCAAGAGATGTTATTATCTTGTACCTAATTAAATCAGCAATGGATATGATTTTTAAGTTTTCTCTCTGTGCAAATTGCCGGAGCTTGGGCAACCGAGCCATGGAACCATCATCATCCACAATCTCACATAGAATTGCAACAGGATCTAACCCTGCCAACACAGCGAGATCAACAGAAGCTTCTGTATGTCCAGCTCTTTTCAGAACACCYCCCTCCCTATACTTCAAAGGAAATATATGACCTGGGCGGTTGAAATCCTCAGGCTTTGAATCTTTTGATGCTAGAGCCAATACAGTTGTTGCCCTATCATGAGCTGATACCCCAGTGGTTGTACCATGTTTTGCATCCTGCAGAAGTGCATTATAGTCAAGATAGAATGTGACAGCTGATCAAGATAAGAAAGCATAAACATCTAACTATTTAAGATAGGCTTCCATTTCTACTGGTTAATTGAAATGTGCATTTCAATTGATTGTTTGTATCAGAAATTGAACAAAAATGCAAAATGCTTACTGTCAAGTAAGTTTATAGCAAGTCAGCTAACAATCAAACAAATGGGGGAGATGTTGGAAATCACTTGAGGTAAATGATAAAACTCAAGAGAAAAATAGCCATTTCCATAAAGGGTACCTTATCAAGACAAAAGAACATGGGAATCAAAGGTATTCCAAAGAAAAGGGAAAAAGATATTGTAACTAGAATGTCTTAACTGAATTAATCTAGAAAAACCATCAACATGAATGAAAAAATTACAGCATGATTTAAGGACAAGATAAAAATGAGGGATTGTAATACCTAATAAACTAGAGGGAAAAAGTGTCATGTTAGTCTCCTTAAACAAATTAAGCTTTCTTAACTTTTTAAGTACCATGGCCTCTCAAAATACAATACAAATGTAGCAATCAAAAGGACTGAAACCATAACTATTGATAGCAATTACTTGTGAAATTGAACCCTGTTACCTAGATACAGCAAGGACACAGTAAGGATGAGTCTTGGATGCAGAGTTTACATAGATAATAAAAGCATCTGGCATAAATATGACCCAGGTTAAACTATTCATTTATAAAATAGAATCATTTCATTTGAGTTGTGTATAGCATTTGAACCCACATTCTCATAACCTGAAATGGATTTATTTAAGGTTGTGAAAAACTGTAAATGAATTCATTTGCAAGAAATAGCCTCATTGGTTTGTTTATGCTAGGGTAGCCTGGATAGATCCTACAGATTATGGGATTGATGCAACTTTTTGTAGTGCAGCACTCAGGGGTGTCAATAGCACTTGGGTTCACCTAGTGGGGTTCCATTATTATGCTGTTCAGTTCCCCTACACTACTTGACTCTCTTTGATCATTTTTTAAGCTCTAAAATGAAAAAAGGAAAACCACAACGAAGTCATTTTAATCCATGGTGCATCCAAACAGGCTATTAGCAGAGTTTCTGTTCATCATACTTCAAATTAGTCATGGAGGAACCCATACTGAGTTATTTAAAATTTTAAATAGCCAATGATTAAGGTGAACTAAAATTGGCATCCAACTTTCTAGCAAGTTTAATTTATACTGAATATCATTGATTAAGTACAATTTCTTTCTTCTGCCCAATGCTATTACACCTTCATAAGCCATTATTCCAACTATGCCAAGATGAACCAGAATACATACCACTGAAACTGTGAATGCTGTGCAAAGTTTCTCATCATTCTCCTTTGTTGCTACCATCAGAGGAAGTTCTAGCCTCTCTAGGTCTTCTCCTTTCATGCTTACACACACGATTCCAGTTCCATGTTTTACAATAAAAGCCATAGTTGCAGTTGTTACCAGTGATGCCGCCATTATCAGATCTCCCTCATTTTCTCTGTCTTCATCGTCTACAACAATGACTAGCTGTACATGAGCTTTAAGTTAGTAACAATTTAAATGACAACAAGTAGGCCCTACAACCTAAATCAAGATGATTAGGAAGAAACCTTGCCCTGACGGATGTCTTCAATGGCCTCTGGAATAGAAGAGAAGCCTTCTGTAGGATAATCCAAGTCCAGTTCRTCCTTATTAACAAAAACATCATCACTAGTGGAAGCAACATCTGTTGCAAGTGTTCCAAATGCTACTGCATCAGGTTGCATCTCAACACCTTTCTCTCTCTCTCTGTCAATAAGAGAACTTTGTCCTACATCTGCATTGCCTTCGGGATAAGATAAGAGACCACCTTCTCCAGATACTAATGTTGCCCTGGCTTTATAGTCACCCTTGAGTCTTAAGCATGGTTTTCTACTTAGATTGGCGAAGGCTAAATCTGATGTTATTCCATTTGCATTGAATGTATTCATACTATGCAATCCATTGAAGCAGTTGAATTTACGGCATCTACAGAAAGTAGATATATTATTCTTATTTGTGCACAGTCAAGACAAAGGACAAAAGAAGTCAATTATAAGGTTTTAAACCTATAAATGCACTACCCTTGCATGAACTAAGACTTCAAATTTTACAACCTTCTAACTTGAGTTTAGGAACTCATTATTTCTGAGCAGAACAAAAAGAAATCCAATTTTTAAAAGTTCATAATTATAAAAGTATGCACTTCTCTTTCATAAAGGAGATTACAAGAGCATAGTCATTAGGGATAAACCATCTACTATTATGCATGAGAACACATGTTAGGCAAACCTGGGGATCAGGGAGGTTAGAGATCCTTTTATGTAATGAATTTCMATGTTTACAGTCAAGCTAATATGGAGGAGTTCGTAACCAGTGAAATCTATCAAAACACAAATAGTAGCGTCAAAAATATTGGACCTAATTGACCTAATAAAAACAAGTAAAACCACCACTTTCTTCTTCAACCAAGCATGGATATTGAAACTGATCATAAAAATAGACAACAAAACAAATCCCATGGCCCAAATTACGATAATTAAAATAAACGGCCAAAATAAATTCAAAAAATAAAAGCAACAAAAAATCCTGAGAGGAACTAAGAACGGAGAACTGGTTGGATAAATAAAACACTAAGGAAGCATAACGTGTTGAGAAGACAAAGTGAAATGAACAGGCGGGAATGATCATCCTTTTACATTTTTCATAGAATTCATTACAAAATAGAAGAACCCATTTCCATCCAATCTACACTGAAAAGAAAGGCAAAAACATATGAAATTTGTTCATAGAAGCTTTAAACAATACTCCAACACAAATTCGAACTAAAGCCAACTACCGTAGAGGAAAAACATAGTAACCCATGATCTGTATGCGCTTCTCGTTCAAAGATGTAATAAACAATATTTCCATGGAAAATTAGGTATACGTGACAAGATAAAAAGATCCTGAAATCCAAAACATAAGCCCAAATAAGAGATTTCAATATAAGAGGAAAAATGAGAGAAGGTGAGCTCACTGTGAAGAGAAGATAACAGTATGTGAAGAGAGGTTGATGGACGCCATTGCTCCCGCTCTCAAATGTTTCAATTTGACCTGCTTTAATCGAAACCAAGTGCGGTTTCTTCTTACATGTGCATAGAGAAGCCACCGAACTCGAGAAATAACGATAAGCAGCAGCAAAACATGGGAGAAAAACGCAACGAAAAAAGGGCTTCGAAAAAAACTAAAAAAAAAAAAAGTCGTTAGCCCACCACCAATGAATAGACGGCTAGGATTCTGTCTAACCAATACAGATGCAATGAACATTGATATCCCCAGTACGACGGCTTGATTCTTTGAACCTTGGATTCTAAGCTAAAGTCGGACCCGGCCTTTTGGAGTTGGTAATCCAAGGGCTGTTGTCATTGCTTCACTCAGCTTAGCCCCGTGGTCCTGTGGATTGCAGAACTATTCAGATATTCTTATGTGGCCTATGCTTATTTAACGTGGCCAGCTCAAAAGGTCCTCCTTCGGTCAAAGAGATCCCGTGCCCGTCCCTCCGAGTCCGGATATGCTCCTTTCCCAACGCGCCTCACATCGATCTCACAGTATGTTCTGACCGTACATCAATAATATCTTCTGTACTTATTTATTATTCATGACTCAATGCAAAATAGGATGTGGCTGAGGTAGGTATAAGAGAGTCCCAATCTACTCCTCGTGCGCCTCACATAGATCTCAGAGCATGTCCTGACTGCACATCGAGAATATCTCTTGTGCAAAAAATATTATGTAGAGATGTTCCTAATATAAATATAGGGTGGGATATGGCTGAGGTCGGCGCAAAAAATACTATGTGAGGAGCAGATCCCAATTAGTTCCAGCGGACTTGCACTGACCAAAGCAGAATTTGTCCCAATGGTGCTAGGTAAAAATTTCCTATAAAAGAAATAAAAATAAAGCATGAGTTGAGTTGAGTTGAGTATCTTGAGTTTGATTAGTTACCAACTGGTTTGGTGGATTATGGCTTCGCTGTAGCGCACACATGGGATCAAATCCCGTTGCCACACCAGGGTTGGGGCTTTGGCGGTTTATGATCAGTTCACATCTTCACCCCATAATGTCCCACAKTACATCCCCGCCATGTATTAGGAACATCTCCCGATGATAATATTAATCCCAATGACATCACCATTGAGAGATATTTACACGGCGGGGATGTGCTATGGGCGTTGTGGGGCGGAGATATGATTTCGTTTATGGTATGGGGATGGGCTACACGTTGTTTAGCTCCAAAAAAAAAAAAAAAAAAGTAATTGAATCACTAAAAGAAATTATTTAGAAAAATAAAAGTACAAAACGCCTAAACTGCCGTTATGTCATAACGGTGACGGTTGTAAAGTCCACCCATTCTCCCAGTTGCTTTCTAATCTCCTGAAAGTGAAAAACCTACAAATAAGACATTTCTTTATCAAAAGAAACGATCCACGGAAGGAAAATCTATACTGATGGAAAGATAAGATTACCGGAAGGACTTTGAATTGCAGCTCCTTTCTAATTTACTAGTAGCCCTTCTATAAACAGCATCTTGTCCATAAATTTGACATTAATCCGCGGATAGATTTAGTCCACCTCTAAAAATCTTAACACTTAGGAAAAACAATTACATGATTATTTACCATTTTGATGATATTAATTTTTTTTTAAATTAATGATACCGATTGATTGGTTACAAGATCTTCCGGAATCATAAGCAGGGTCCTGAACCCCTACAAAAGAAAATATATCAAAAGGACATACAAAAACTCCATCAAAAAGACGTGGTTGATATTTTACCGGAGCGAAACTGGATAATTCAACAACGAATATCACACTTTTTGGCGTCAAAAAAAAAAATCAACGAAGATCGCTTTCCGGTTGCACTTGCATAGATCAAATATATGAGGGTAGGCTTAAACTATCATACATTGGAAGCCACAAACAGACCTGCAGCTCCGCTAGTTTTATCAGTTCCCCAACGCTATTTGCTCTCAGGAAGAGAGAGAGAGAGGTGAGGAGATAGGACCTAAGAGCTAAAGAGATAAGATGGAATGGCTTGATTTATATTTATTTTTCTGGGTTGGTGGTGTAATAGSGTACATGACACTTACCACAAGAACTAGAGAAAAAATCATCAGATAGCAACTTTTAACCGTCGATTAAATTCATAGATTATTTTGATATCTCTTACACTGTATGATATATGCATAAAATCTGTAAACCTGTGTTTATCCTGATTGCTTGTGAAGTATGATCTATTATTTGGTGGAATCCTATCCCCCCTTATATGGACACATGGCAGCTGAAGAGTGCACCCGTATCTCTTTTAATGAGAACACTCGTATTGTAGCATTGCCCCAAAATAAACTAATTCGTGCATATTCATCCCGCGTTCAACACGCTTGTCCAGCTGATCAATATTGTATTTTTTTTTTCTTTTTGAGTTCGACTATGATACTGAAAAATTTTGTGACTAATCAACCCTTATCATAAAAGAAGAGCTAATGGATTAGGTGGTATTGTATTTTTTGAAAAGAAAACTAGTGAATGACCCCGTATTAATGATTTTTATTATCATTTTTTGTTACTGTTTATAAACTGTCATTTTTTAATATGCTCATATATTGTATGGGTCCACATAAATTGACTCTTATATGTCAAACCCGTAAAATTATACGGGTCATTAAATTCAAATTGAAACATTTATTACTTTAATTTAACCATTATTATTATTACTAATTTATTTTAGTATTTAATTTAAAATTTTTGTTATTTAGTAATAATATTAACTAAATTTGTAATTATTTAAATATTTATTCAAAATATTTTTTTCCAACCGAGTATAATTATTATATAATAGATTTGTTAATTCATATTTTCCATTTAAGAATAAACATTAATGATTTGGCTTAACAATTTTAATGACTATTAATAAATATTGATTATTATTTAAGGTTTAATTACTGTATTTGGTAATTATTATGGGGCATACTTTGAATAAACATTAATGATAACTGATGATTGTTATTTTGTTTTTTTATTATTTTCTTAAATAAGTACTTGATGATTGTTATTATTATTTACTTAATTCAGTAATTTTGAGTAAGTAATTATTTGATTTAATCTGAATTATTTCATTTTTTAATTATTTGTAATAGACATTTAGGGTAGGCTCCTTATTTGATTTAAGAGACTTACCATGTTTTATCTAGACAATGACCTCATATTAAGGGGCAACTACAGTATCATTTAATTTAAAATTTACTATTTAACAATAAAAAATCAATGTCTTATTAAGCAACCTACCTTCCAAAAAAATATCAATAACTTTGAAATCATTAATCTATTTATAAAATAGTAAACTTAGATGTATGTTTACAACAATACCACCAATTCTACTTAATATTTAGGGGCATATGAATGGATAAAAAGCATTTATGGTATCCATTCAAAGAGGTAAAGAAGGAAGAAAATCATTCAAAGAGCTACTAAGAAAAACAATCCATGCCAAACAACATTTGCAGATGCATCCATCCTCTAAAGTAAGAAATGAAAAATATATGACTTCAATCAAATCATCATCATGTATGGCTATAATCAATTGATAATATAATTAGGACTCTGAAGCCCATCTAATAGAGAAAACATTAAAGAAATGAGAATAATGGGACCATCCTAAGTATGGAAGTCACCTCCAAGTTAGGTGGCAATGCTTCTTTTGGTCAATCATGGTTATGGATTTTAAGTTTAAGCCCCCCCCACAATGCACATAGATTGGCTAGAATTTATCTTTAGGAAAAGATTGGGAAACTTGTACATAACCTAATGGTATGTTTGAATTATGGGAATTGGGAGATAGAAATAGAAAATGTAGGTTGAATTATAATTTTGGTCATGTTGATGTGTAAAATTCAAGTCAAKTAGAATACCATAGATTTTTAGTTCATTTATTAAATGGTAATTTGAATATTTTTTATTCCATATCTATATTGAGTAATATAGATTAATAATATATTAATAATTATGAAATCAGTAATAACAATAAGTATATTATTACTATTATTTACTAATAAAATATTCTTATTATGTGTGTATTGATTTTGAATTTAGTAATATTAAATTATTATTATTATTATGAAGTAATTAATTTGTTATAATTATGATTTTTAGTTAATACTGCAATAATAAATGCTTTATAATTCTTTTAGTTTAACAATAATGAATAATTGAAAGTTTATAATTTAACATTCACTAAATGAAATATTTATTGAAGAATAATAATAGTATTAATTATAATTACTTATAATAATAATATAAATAATTAACACTAATTATATATTTATAAAAAAATAATATGAATTAATATAAACATAAAATGATTATATCCCAATTAATAATTAATATTATTAAAATACTTTTTAATTAACATTCCAAAGTAATAATTATCATTATTATAATTAAGGAATTAATTATCAATAAGTAATTATAATCAGTAATTAATTTTTATTAGAAATCACTATTATTAATAATAATTAATTATAATTATTGATGATAATAATAATATAATTATATTAATTAATATAATTATTAATTATAATTGCAGATAATAATAATAATATAATTAATTGTTTCATATAAATGTATGAATTATAATTTTTGATAATAACTCTAATATAAATAATTAACATTCAACATTTATTTTCAAAATAATTAATATGAGTTAATATAAATATAAAAATATTTATTCTGAATTATTAATTACCATTATGGAAGTCGTTATTAATTATCATTTTGAATTAATAATGAAAAATATTATCAGTAATTAGTTAATATCAGTGGAAAAGTATTAGCAATAATTATTATAAGAAATTATTATCAGTAATTAATTATTATTAGTAATTAATAGCTGAAATTAATTAATTAGAAGGCATTAATTATTATTAGTACCCCTCTCTTTCAAAAAGTTGATTCATCATCGTCGTCGTCATCAACGACAACAACTTGATAAATACATAATTTTATAAAAATCGGTAAATTTCATTAATTTATTTTTTGGAAAACCAAATAAGAGAAAAATAAAATGGTTAGCATTGCAAATGAAAAGTTATTTGGATTTTTTCAAAAAAAAAATATTGAACATAAAATACCAATTACTCAAAAATAAGGTCATTAATGAACGAGTACTTAAAATTATTCTGTAAATAAT